CAGTCTGCCTTCTATTTGAAGTTTCATAATCACGCAGAGTTAGGTTTGTGTAAAGATTCGGTCGGTTTTCGACATAGAACTTTGCACATATGTGTGGCAGTTCAAGTCGCTACACTCCATGAACCACACAAAGCAAGAGAAGAAATGCATAATATAGACAGCAAACAGAGGTGTGAGACAAAGGAATAGTAATAACAAAGAACAAAACAGTTTCATTGGAAATCATAAGTCACAGGGAGTGGATGCATCTTCACCAGCCATTGAGAACGATTTTAAGCCATATCACCGATTGTCTCCAGTCATTGGTTTTTACCGTCCCGAGGACCCCAACCAGGAAGTCTACACCTTTCTACGTGGCTTAGACTAACTGTTGTAGATTTCATTGACTGGTGTCATGTTTTTGTTTGACCACCGCTAGCTCTTTTCCAGCCTGACCCTATATCAGCTAACATTGCCCGTCGAGGAAGGCGATGACTAGAGGCATACGTAACACATGTTCTAACCATCTCAGTCGATGTAGCTTCACAGCCTCGTCGATTGATTCCCCCTCTTTACCTAGCACTCGACGCCTAACCTGAATATTGCTCACCTTATCATACCACTTCACGCGGGAGATAGAACGCAGACACCTATGATCGAAGATAGCTAATCTTTTCATGTCTTCTGCTTTCAATGGCCAGGTCTCACAGCCATAAAGGAGGACGGAGCGGACTGTTGAGCGGTACACACGCCCTTTGGTCGATAGTCGGATATCGCGTCTACGCCAGAGACGGCGTAAACTGGTGTGTAGAGATTACATGGCTTTCACTAACCACCGAGTTTCAGCAACAAAAGTTTCTTCATTAAATGCAGAGCTGAAACCACATTTTTTGATTTGACTTTTATTAGTTGGTATTGGATTAATGACAGAAAGCATATGTAGCAGGTTTATTGCTTGCTGGCACCCATTATGAAGTTGTACCTGGGATTTTGCAGGACCATCTGCAATTTCAGATTTAATCTAGGAGTACTCAACATATGGGATTCAAAGATCTACCCATAAGTATCCTGAATCTTGCTTATAAGCCAACAAACATCAATTTCATACGTCTATTAATGAATACGACATATTTCTGACAAACCATTTAACTAGACAGTGATATTAACTACTGTTCAGTGACGAAACATGGGAATTCTGCTTCTGAAACACATCAAGAAATTTTCTTTAATACAGACACTGATAAAAAGCAAAACTGCTGTTTACTAGAATAGTAGAGGCTTGTTTGAGTCACTGCGCTACCCGAATTTCCATCCAGCACAGTACATCACATTTTACTTAATTCTTATTGTTTTAATTATTCAATTATTTTGTAACGATAGAAGACAAGGGCCAGGCAGCAGATTGTTTAATGAGAAAATCAACAGATATTTAAAGATTTTTATGCACATTATTATTAGCGTTATTGTTAGCAGAGAAGCAACATCGTCTGATTAGTTTTCTTGCTGAAAGTTATTTTGTCATCCCTTAGTGGACGTTTCTTAGAAAGTTAAGGCATACATCTGCGAATCGTATTTGCACACGTTAAGTCTGCTGTGATTGGTTGGTGAGGTCCTCAAGGCTAAGCTTCGTTATTGCTTTTTACTGATGAACCCGATTCGGGACGTAAACATGGACGTATATTGTTGTCTAAAATTTTGGCTTGCAGACATTTCTCACCACAACATAATCGAATGAAGGAAAAATGTCATGAGGGATTAGTTTATGCTTCATAACGAATAGCGTTATTTTACATGGTATAATAATAATAATAGCTTTATTCTGAACAGTGTTTACATAATGCATGGAATTTTCAGAGTAGTTCATTGCATAATATTTCCTCTTCGTTTAGGATCTTTAAATAAAATTAATAATTGACGGTAGATCGTGTAACACATTGCTGTTTGACCTGAAACGCAAACCAATCGATTATGATATCTCTTTTTTGTCTCCTTCGAGGAATATGTACGACATTTAGTTGAAGACCAATTATAAAATGTTCAGGAGAACCAAGGATACAACTCAAGAACAGTTATATCACAAGTGGGATAGGTTGCTGCTCAGGATTACGCTTCTTCTCAAGTTTAGTAGGAGCTTGAGAATCAGAGGGGGTCGCAAAGATTGAATACTCGAGAAAGCAAATACTATTATTTGAGGTCATATTTTATTGGATTGAAACAAACTGAACAAGACAAATTATATGCAATATATTGATGGACGTTCCCGGCAGGGCAAGTTTTAAGCGGGCCACCTTAGTACTATATTGCGGCTATCTTACTTGAAGATCTTGGATGAGGGGAGAATATTTCGAAAAAGAACTACGCCGAGAATTCCGTACATCTGGTAAACATTTCGTGCAAAGTGATACTTTGTTATTATTACTGTGTTGATCTACCACCAAAAACGAATTATTCTTTTTTACCCTAAGGTGAATATTCTTCTATTTGCATCATATATCCACACGGCCTTATGTGCAAATTGAAAATGAAGTACATTCAGTGGCCAGTGCTACTGATGAGATTTATCAGTAGTATATAAAAAGACGTTCATCGACATAAAAAAATATCAAACATAAAGGAAATACATTTGGTGTAAGAGAAGGCAAATGATACAGCGTTGTGGAGATACATGGGAGACGTGAAAGCAACACAAAATAACACACACAATAGGAAGGCGAGAAGTACCACAGCATGGAAGATCTGTGTAAATTGGTGGCGTGGCTTTAGGAGACTATCGGTAGTGGTTTTTTGGCTTCCGTCGTTTTTAGTGGACACAGAGTGAAGAGCCATCAAGTAGAGGAGTTGCATCAGAAGAAGGAAGGCAAGATAACAGAGATGAAGACACAGATGAGTGAGGATTAGAGAGGTTTCGCGTTCATTTCGGATTGTGAGGGCGATTGTTACTTCCCGGCTGCCCACACCGTGGAAGTTGGTTGCGTGACCGCAGAGCCCAGGGGACAACTGCTTGAGGCCGGTCACACGCAGCCTGTTTTCGTTTGTTCTTTTTTATTTGGTGTGTCTCAGTAGGATATTTATCACTTCTGCCCTGTGACATGGCAGCAGGAAGCGCAGTCGTCGTTAATCCGGGCTCCGACCGATCCGGCATGATATTTTGTTTGAGTCATAGCATTGGGTTAGGTAGCTGCTTTTTGTCTAACCGCTATCCAAACAACCTTCCTGGCATGGTAGGACCTCAAGCGACATAAGTCTCAGCCAGTATAGCTTGTTGGGTCATTGAGGTGTTCAAGCCCGACCACCACGTCAAGGTAGCAGCTTTCGGTCGGGGTGTAAATGGTGCGTTGAAGATAAGGTGTACATAATTTGGCTATATAGAGATACCAATATCCAAACAAACATTGCTTTACCAAGTATTTTGCATTCTGCCGTTATAATTTTAATGCACAACGATCAGTGGTGTTTAAAAGAATATTTTAAAAACTGCGTTTTTAGTTGTGACTACCTAGATCACTTAATTCCCACATGAACTTATTCTTTCCTTCATCTGATAAGCTCATGATTGGAAGAAGTATGAAGTGAATATACAAGCGTGATTTCAGTGGTGATGCGATTAGGATTCACCAAGTATCACACATCTTAGCGATTCGATGAACGAAGGATTTGAAATAACCCTTGGTATAGTTTGCAGATAAGTAACTTAAGGTAACGTCGCTCTAACAAACAATTTTTATGCTGAAATGATCACAGATGTCCAGGATAGAAAACACAAGAGGCATGTTGGCAAATGTTTCCTACCAACTGACATCTTCATTCACGTCTTGTTTGATCACAGGTAGAAGAGTAGTATGGTTAGCACATTGAAGAATGTAGCCCATACATGGATACTTAGAAAGCCTAAACTAAGTTACATCAATTTTTCCTAACATGAACTAAAATAACCAAAGGCAGTAATTTTTTTCTCCAGCCATCTGTTTGCTAACAAGATGCCATATTTTGCAACAGTGGGTTTCAACATTAGGTAGAAAAACAGTTAGCAGCCAACCTAGAAGAATAATTAGTTTTATCCGTTAAACTAATTGTACTGGAGTCTATAGTGTTACTAAGAGGTTCAAATGCATTAGAATTCTGATAGCTTAGAAAGAAGATTGATAACTTCAACCAAATGTACCAAATTAGTTGTACTGATATGATTGCCTGGGATCAATTGTTTGGTAACATTAGGAATTATAGGAGTAAACAGTCTGGTATGAGGGTAAATTTGAGGTGACAAATCAGAATACACGAACCCGGAGAATAACAAGATAGAAGAGAAATAACATATATGCCAGTCTGAAGAAGTGAACCTGCCTTAACTAATTCAGTTTCATTAAAGTCTAAGAATAAGCCTCTAGATCACAGATTACTGTTTCCGGTGATGCTAATTTAAATCGTTAATATAGTTCTCTTCTATCAATTTGTCACACTGTACACCTGACGAACGTTTCAGCTTTGATTATAAGTAGTTATTTAGTATGATAAATCGGTGGGTGGACTTGCTAAATTTCATTAACTGTTAGGATTAGAAGATACACTATGCATTCTTATCCATTCCCATACAACTGGCAATGAGCCATACTTATTGTGTGACACCTGATGATACTACCTGGTTACTCAAACTTCGGTAGGCGAAACGCGATTCGAACTCGTTACTCACTGGTTGGAAGTCGACCGCCTAAATCAGTGATAAACGTCTCTGTTCTTATTCATCATTTATTTTGAACACGTCATAATAGCGGAATTCAGTTTGAAGAAAGCAAAAAATAAACAATCCACCCGTGAGTTTTTGAGTGATATGTTGAGTTGTATAGGAAAGTGAATAGAATGCAAACCTATGGTTAAAGACATAATGTTGTATAGTTTAAAATCAATTATAGCAGTATGGAAATGGAAGATGTTAAGAGTTATTTTACAGAAAGTACTTTCACACTTGTTTCCTTTCTTGTTTATGATTATAGCTTGATTCCATACAGTATTTTTGATACAAGTATGGAATTTTCAGCATGTGATATCATAAGTAGCCTAAATTTTGCAGGCAACCCGACCATTGATATCGCGTGTGCGTCGGTAGGTGATCGAACCTCGGACCGTGTGCATGGTCGCTGAGAGTCCCAATCGCTGTGACAGTGACGCACATATATCAGTAAGGCATGTTTGTTAACTTGAAAGAACGCAAGTTACATTGCAGATGTGAACTGAAATCATCACTAGTTTTAGTCTTACACAAAGAACAAAATAATAAATAAATAAATCATGCAAAAGGCACTAAATAAATATTACTTATTAAAAAAAGGGAAGTGATTCTATAAACTTTGAAATTAAAATATTAGGCGGGTGGGTGGTAATAGTTGGACTAAGATGACTATTATGATAATGAAACTATTGAAGTTAAAAGTAGACAAAATTATTTGGAATAATAATAAAACGCAGTTGTAAAATAGATAAACTGTGTTTAGAAATCCAATGGAAGTTTGCAAGTGTATAAGGATACAAAAAAATACAAAAGAATTGAACAAGAACTCTTTTTTTTAAAAGGCTGATCGAATTATTTCACTTTCATACGACCATGAAGTATGCTGAAGATCAAATAATTGTTTCAATAATTCTTGTAACCAGTCTAACTGAATACATGGTCGTTGAAGTATACCATATAAACAATCTGTGCTCAACATACGTGTTGTATAGGCAATAAATTTGTTTAAAAATTTATCATTGATTTTATTTGGTGAAGTTTTTTGAAATGATAAGGGTATTGTATCGAATTTATTGAATAAATCATTGAAAAACAATTTTTGAAACCTACTTATTGATTTCATTTGAATTTGTTGACTACAATAACAAAGTTGTCCGCCTTTCGGTAGCTCAACTTTATTATTATTATAATTATTCAATGCATTAGAAACAATTGCTCCTGAACAAGTGGAACATTTTAATTGGAAATCCATACTGCGCATAATATTGCTATTCATACCTGACCAATTATTGACGCATGCAGTACAAGTACACTGAAAATGATATTGTGATTTTAAGGAATTTTGCCGTTCAGTTAACGAATGTACTGCATAATGCAAACCATAATTTCCATAGATTACTTCATTACACTGAATAGGACGAAGAGAATATATTGAACACTGGAATTCACTTTGAGTAACATTAGTCACATTAGGATCACATGAATGATTAATCAATGAAAGAACTGGATATAGACAATTTGATAATTCAATTGATGACAAGAGATTTAAGTCAATTCCAGGCTCAGTTAATTCTTTACTAGTTTCTTCTGAGAGGATATACTCTGGTTGGGATAATGAATGACCATTTGACGATACACACTGAAGATGATGTAAGATGCATGTAGATGCCCATGTGAATGGAAGTAGGCTACTAATGGAATGATTATTTTCAGGAATATTATCTTCCCGTTGAAGCGGATAACCACCAGCCTGAAAAATACATAATCATGAGAAAATAAAAATTAGCACTGTATTTTCATATATATTAACAAGGTGGTTTCAAAGACCTATGCAGACTTAAAGAAGCTATAAAACAAATTAGCGATTGCACTGCACTCGATAGAAACGGGACACAAAATTGATTTTATTAGGACAAAGGTTCTACAGAAAGGTTTTGGTTTGTATAAAGAAAGACTGACTGCAGAAGTCCTACAAATATGGGTGAATCCAAAAAGTTTGATGTTAGCTGAGGCACGACAAGTCCTGATTAACAAATAAAAATGGAATATGTATCACTAATTAAAGATACTTGGTCTAAATTCCCGATTGTCTATATCTTCTTATGGAGAGGTAAACAAATGTTTTACAACTGTTTACCCATACACACATACACTATTGTATACTGCATATACACATGTATATTAGAGAATATCTTAGATCTTAGATAGAGGAAACACCAAAAGTGCCAGGGAATTCCTAGAAGCCTGCCACTCAAACGACTATGCAATTAACAAACACGTTACTATAGACGAAATGTACCAACTGATAAAAAGTAAATCATGTAACCAGAAAGTTTAAAATTCAAGTCAATAGAAAATGATCAATACATATGTAAAGATGGTTACCGGGAGAGGCAATTATATCACTCATGAAAAATTTAAATCATTTCACTTTATGCTAAATATGGCGCTGAAGATGTTGTCCAGAAGGACGACGAAAGCTCCGCAACTAAACCAACCAGCTCAGAGAACACTATTAATTGCAACAGATGTATATTCAGTTATTTACGACCACGAACTTTTAGTCAAACGTAATCACTAAAATTCTGATGAAAAGTACACTCAGTTTAAAGTGTTTACCAAAAGTAGACTGATATTTATAAGTCTGAAGTCAAATTGTGATCACAGCTCATACAATTTTGTTTATTATATTTTGATGACTGTTTCATGACTCATATGACTGAACAAAGTTTTTAAAAACAAGAGATGTCCTTCTTATATATAAACCTCTGTTATTTTAATTTAGATTAATTTCGCTGAAGACGTTTTTATTTTGATTATAGCTTGATTCCACACCATATCTTTGGTACAAGAATGGAATTTTCAGCATTTGACATCGGTAACCCAAATTTCGCAGGTCGTCCATTGATATCAAGTGTACGTCGGCAGGGCATCCCACCATGGACCATATGCATGGTTGGCGAGAGTCCCAACCACTGTGACACCGACCAGTTAGCCGAACGAAACGTTGGAATTACTCATTTCAATTTCTCTAAGATTTTACAAATATAATTTTTACAAACGTCTACTTCACATTCGGTGCCAAATTATTTTGCAAATATTTGATCAAATCTTGATCACAGTTCATATAAAATACGTAATATGCTTAGACAACTTCGAATATGCGAATGAACATATTTCTATTTGAAAATATACACCAGTGATTAACTCTAGTCTAATAAGTATGAAGCTGCGTCGGTGGCACAGCACTCAGGACGCTCGCCGACCATCCACATAGTCCGGGGTTCGATCCCCGACCGACGCACTCCTTTACCTCGCTATGGAGAAATAATGCCGGTAAAGAGAAAGGTTGGACATGAGGCTGGCAACCCCATTCTGTAAAATTAAACACTGTTACAGAAACTTCAAACCACTAGCTTGAGGCCTTATGTTCCACTGGGAGCGTGAAGGAAAAAAAGAAAAATAAGTATGACGACAAGTGACAATATATAAATTTTCCAAAAATATTTAGTCGATGATGAACATAATTAAACTCCCTTAAAAAGTGAAGATTTTAGGATGAAAATTCTAATGTACATTTCGTCAAGAGCTGAAGTTTGGAAAAACCAGGGAACAAACAGCAGTTATTTCTCTGTAGGTCGGAACTTTTTACAAGTGCCTACCCATGGATCTACCCTAGGGTTCTCAAGTTTCGAGGTGGACCCGTTGAACATTGGATTAGAATCCAATGTCTAATGAGTCATAACTTCTGTCAGTCAGCAACGTAGAGAGCAACCACCACCAACCAATGCTGTGGTGTATGAGAAATCTAAGAAACTTATATTTCACATTTTACCGTGGAATTATTAGGAATGAAATATTATAAAACACTTACTTCAAGACAAAACGTTAGGTAAACAGCAGCTACACATCGTTGCCATAGATCACTAGGTTTGCGTTTATCCGAGTTTGTAATTAGCCAGCCAATAGACGTATAATCATCCCAGCCTTTCTGTGGAACTACACGATGACCAGTAAATGATAACAATTCTTCGTGAACTTGTTTTGAGTCAACTTGACAGCTGAGTTTGTCTAAGGAGGTCTGTAGGAAAAAATAAAACAAAAGCCTTAACTATTAGTCAGTTGGCAATAGTAAGTGTAATACTTTTTAACTGTCAGTAATCAACGAGTTTCAACTTCAAATGTTATGCCAAAAAAGTGGGTTATAATAAGCAGGGGAAAACGAATTTTTGAACACTCATGTCTGCCATTTCTTCATCAACAATAACCTTGAGAAATAATAGGTATCTTTGCAAAATGAATTTCAGTATAAAACTGAGTTAATTAAGCTGGTGTTCCTGGATTATACAATTGAGAACAAAAGTGAAAGGGTGGCATTAGTAGCGACGATTGCGCATCTAATGCAACATGGAGACCCGAAACAGTGTTTGATGTCTAACTCTTTCCGTATAACAACTAAAAAACATTAACTGCTGATTGAAACGACAGAAGCGACCGATAGCTGTTGCCTTGACGTGGTGGTCGGGTTTGCATATCGCAATGACCCAACAAGCTACACTGCCTGTACCTAACGTTCCTGCAGGTCTTACCATGCCAGGAAGATTGTTAGGATAGCGATTAGACTAAAAGCAGCCACCGGCATAGTGCAAGACTTTTTTCTTACACCATGATGGAGGTCTGTGGACAATGTACTGCTGGGGAATAGGGATTTAACAGCAGTAAAGCGTTTCACTCAGATGACCAGCATGCCATCTATGCTGTCTCTCCACTCTGGAGAGAGGGAGTTAAAAAGGTCGACCGCAACAACTGTACAACATCCTGAATTGCTCTACGGTGGTCCGTGACCGGCGGTAAGTTTACTAATACGGAACCAAACCAAGAAACCAGTTCATACAGGCGGTGTGACCGGCCTCAAGCAGTTGTCCCCTAGGCTCTGCGGTCATGCAACACTAACCCTCTTTCTGTTTCAAGTACCCGAAGAATCAATCAACTTCCACGATGAGGGCAGCCGGGAAGTATCAAACGCCCAAACACTTCCAAGAGCACACGAAGCCTTCCCGAGCATCATTCTCCTTTACTCACATCACCGTCATCATCTTGCTTCCCTCCTACTGTCAGTACTATTCTTCAGGTGTATCGGTCATCTTCATTTCATTCTGTGACCACAAATAACGATGAGAGCCACAGAAACACCCCCGACAGCCCCTTAAAGCCACGTCGACAACTTCTTATGGGAGCATTTAATGTCAGGATCCTCAGCCAAATCGGATAACAGGCATCACTAGACACAACTCGGGCATCTCGAGCCATGGATGTATGTTGCGTTTCGGAGACACGCATACAAAACCCGAGTGTGATTATTCACTTAATCCTACCCGTCCATCAAGATGAATCTGCAAAATCCACCTTAAGATTGTCAGGAGACTCTTCAGCTATTTCTCACGGACTCGCAGGTGTAAGGATAGCATTGAGTGTTAGGATAGAAAAACCACTTCTTGACTAGATCTCAGTAAATAGTCATATGTGTGCGTTCTATCTGAACAGGTCCATTAGAAGAAGGAAGGACGGCGTTACCCGTCGTTGTCTTTTTCTAACTGCCGCTTACGCCCCAACCGACTGAATCAAAGAATTTCTGCCAAAAACTGTCTAGTTTGTTGGAAAAAGCTCTGATATAGTTTTCTTAGCAAGCGACTTCAATGCCCGACTATGGAAGTTGTGCCAGACTGAGAAGTGTATTGGTGGTACGTACAAAGTTCCCTGCCAACGAAGCAACAACGGTGATCGTCTTCTACAGCTCTGCTCAGATAATCATCTGTTCCTAGTCAGCACTAACTTTAGGCACAAAGGGAGACATTGCGTAACCTGAATCACCAAATCAACACAGACCACCTAGCAATAGGCTATCGTTGGTGAGGGTCAGTAGAAGATTTCTGCACCTTCTGAAACAAGTGCGTAGACTCCGAGTACGCCCTGATTCACGCACGTTTATGTTTACGATTAAACGGATATAAAAAATTGTTGGTAGCGAAGCAGTTACGTCCTCAGCTAGGTGGAGACAACGAATCCCTGTTCACGGAAGAAATGGTGAAACGAGTATCTGAGGTTGACAACAGGACTCCTCCTGAGGTACAACATACAGTTAGCTGTAGATAAAGTCGTAAAAGCTGGTAATAACCTGAAACCTAAAGTTATTAAGAGCTATTGGATGTCTACGGCCTCATCCGACGCAAGAAGACTGATTCCGGCAAGCTCCGAATATGATGACGTGATCTCAGCACGGGTACAGAAGGCTCGTTTGGCATATGCCAACTTACGCAATCTCTGGCTAAGTAGATATGATATCCGGTTGTCAACCAAAGGACGTGTGTACTGCTCAGCAATCCGCTCCATCTTCCTTTATGGCTGGCTGTGAGACATGACCAGTGAAAGCAGATAATAAGAAAAGGTTAGCTGTCTTTGACCGTAGGTGTTTGTGTTCTATCTCCCATGTTAAGTGGTATAACCAGGTGAGCAATATCGAGATGAGGCGTCGGTCACCATTTGTCCCGCTTGACAATAGATCAGGTAACGAAAGAAAGAGGAAGAAATGTTTATCAACAGCTTAATTGATTTTTTTTGCGTTTCTATATTTTATTTTTGGCTTACAATCGACAATTTCAAATTAAATAAGGGAAGAAGAGTAGAAGAATAAAAATTTTGACTTACTTTAATTAACTCTAGCAAGGTTGTTGGAGAAGTTCGGGCTAAGAGAGCAAAAGAAAGCCATGAAATATTCGGCCCGCCGATTATATCATCCTCTGGTAGTTTATCTATGAATACTTTGCATTTTTCCGCAACCGTTGTCAGTTTTGACGACAATGCTTTACGTAATCGTTTCCAGCCAGCATAATCATCTAATAGTAAGCGGTCAACAAGTCCACACTCAAAATAATGTGAGGGTAGAGAAGGATTAGTTGTTGATGATAATTTATTGTCACTGGACCATAATGGTTCCCAAGCCGCTTGTTCACATGTTTCACTACAAAATCCGACCTGGAAATAAATATATTGACAAAGAAAGAATATCACTGTCCCTGTTGTGAAAGTCAATTAAGCACAGAAAATGTGTAATAGAGATTAAATGAAAGTTCAAAATAAACTACTTATTGAATTGTATCAAAAGAATGAGGAATGAATAAACTGTGCTTAGATCCAACTAATACGAAGTTTTGAATATAAGTTTTATTCTTACATTTTTGATGTCATTTACTTTTGAGGTGAAACTATCAATTGGGTTAAAAAGATGAATTTGTTGCGTTTAGAATCAAAAACTTCTCTCAGATGTATCACCCATCAAAAGATATGTGGCCTGCATTCTGCCACTAACAATTAAATGTCAAGCAGTAACCTGCATTTATCTTCCTATGAAAGTGATGTTTTCCCTTCCAAATAAGAAGATAAGTCATGGTTACTATGAGCAATCCCATAGAAAACCTACAGAAAAGATATGACGGAAGTCATTTCGCTTAGTACCTTTTAAATGAATTATTTCATACTAAAGTTTCAGTCACTACTAATCAAATAATTGATAATTTGTCGTCTAGAATAGACTTAATTTGTTTTCGGACATCACTCTGTGCGATGCTCATCATGTTGTTGTATAGGGAGACTAACCCTGACTAGAATTCTACTTCCGCAGTCGGAACGAGTCATAGTCACTCACGAAACAGTTGAAAGTCCCTTAGTATCATTGATATAAGAATAAAACTTGGGCACTGTGGTAGAATGTAATTCCATTATGGGTAAATTTTTATTTTGATAGAGTCTCACAGTGTTATACAGTAATATTTACTGATGACGTTTCGAGCACATTCTGTTGTTATTTGAAGCAGTACGAACTGTGTGACTGGGAAACGTGACATCAAGAAAATCAGTTACTAAAGTATATAACTAACCATAATGTAATAGGTTCTCACGTCTTACTATCTCATATATCTATATATTCGTTACCCACTTTTGCTTTTATCGTCTTATGTTTTTCACATATCAGTATCCCTTCCAATTTATCATCTTGTTGTCAACACCTACTTCAATGTACTGATTTAAAATTTGGCAATAATTAACTAAAACTATTTTACATTATTTGACGGTAATTCTATTACATAAAGAACTCTCTGAGATAAAAATATAAAGAGAAATAATTTCAAATTATTAAGTATTTCCTTACTGAAATTCAGAAAAAGTAATAATCGTATCAACAATGCACTGAAGGGCAAAGTTAAACTTTGAGCACTACTAACTACCAATCAGCGAATAACTTTAAGCGCACCAATCACATGAAGGAGGCATTTTTTGTATGGAATACATAGATTTATACATAAAACCTGTATAAAAGTGTTACATGGGGCACCTTTCTCTTACACATAATACAAACATCTCCCAGTTTAGCATAGGAGTAGTATCAATTGAAAAGTTACACCACATCCTATACATATATTCATCTAAATGATTAAATAACATCCTTTTGAGATCCATTAATGGCTCTAATTGTGTTTTTAACCTTCCCCAAAAGCTTTCTATATAATTGGTGTGAGTCCCTGTAATGGGATCCAAAAAATCATTAGAATGGTTGGCCCTGTGGTGACTACATCCAAGGGATGACAAGGGGTTATAGCCTTTCCACTCATCTGTGTGTATTACAGATCTTTGTTTCCCCAGTCAAGTAATAATAGGTATTAAAGTACTTGAGTTTCTATCTACTATCCTCTCGACGAATCCTTTCTGTGGAGAGGTATCATATGTTCCTGTGAAATATTAGAATCATCAGCTTAAGGTTAAGTGTAAAACGCTTCCGTGTGTGCTGTTCTTCTGTTTGCCTATGAAGCTTAATCCATCCCAATTGAAGATGTTCGGCGATGATGACTGTTTACACTGTTGTCCTCCAAACCGAGGAAAAGTAAGTAGTTCCAGTGTCAAAAAACTTGCCGGAGAAAAGTGGAGACAGTCTTGCAATAAGTGATGTCATCTTACGACACAAGATTGGGATGCTTGGCTCTCTCACTCCAAATATTAATTTCTAGTTTCTGGAATAGTTAGAGGACAACATACTTCTAGGTGTATATAATATACCAAGTCTGTATTGAAATAAATACTGAGAACCCGAAATGAACAACTAGTTTCGGAGCATATCAATTGCAAAAAATGAAATTAGCCAAAAAAAAAACAAGAAATTACAGAGTACTAAGACGGCGTTCCTTCTTAAATATTAATTAGCAACTATATGCAATTATGCGCACCTAGCAATAATCCACACTTATTATGTGTAGGCTCATAATGACACCACCTGGATTTCCATATATATCAGTAGGTACACAGTGGTGACCCAGTAACTGAAAATTAAATTGCTAAATCAATAAGTTCCACTTACTCATAAATCGAATACTTCAAGAAGAAAAAAACTAGCTACCTGAGTACATTTACGGCACGGTATAAGATTAATGCATCGTTTAGAACAACGATAACAGTTGAGCAACAGTCTATCGTATTGAAGTCGACAAGAATATGGTATATCGCGGATGAGTAATTCACCTGCAAAATAAGAATGTCAATAATACTTTATACTATATAGAAAAGAGAGAAGGTTTATAGTTTGTTTAATTACAAGGCAAGACAGAAACGATCCAAGCGATAGCTTGAATGTATAAGTTTGTAGGCAGTAGGCCAGAAATAGTTGACCTAAGTCTTAAGGTTGTGATTTCAGTCCTCAAAATCCACTGCGACAGACAAGGAGGTTGATTGCAATCCAAGTCACCTAGTATGTCTTGGTCCTGGAAACAGGAATTTCAATGATTCATAGTCAAAATTAAGAGATTACCGCGGATCAGAGACATGAAACTTTCTGCTTTCTTTACTTTGTCGTAATAGCCAAGTTGAACACAGTTAATTTATTTTACATTTCTGAACACTTTTGGACAGTTTCCTGAACACGAAACATTTTGATTGGCATGTTCACAGTGCCCATATATTACTTAGATGAATCCATTGATGTAAGGTATACAGGAGACATTTTACAACACACAGACCATTGAAAATGGCCTAACTATATATATATATATATATATATATATATATATCACAATAAAATAACAGTATTATGTACTGGAAGACTCTTCGAACACATATTGTTTTTCACAACCATATCAGCTGTAACGCCACAATTTCGAAGCTCGGTCTTTTATAGTCATCGTTCTTCTTCTCCACTTAGAACTTTCCAGTTGTCCAGTACAATTGCTAGGTTATTTCTATTGCATATATCTTCAGTTCATTCACGTAAACAAAGCTTCAATGTTTAGTCTCTTCCTACTTCCTGATATATTAGATTTTAGGAGTATCATTTTGTTCCATTCTATTGTATGGTAGTGTGTACCACCTATGTGAAGTGCTCTAGGTAAGTCTTCTGGATTTTTAATCTTAACAGGGTCTGTGCTCCACTAATCTAACTGACTATGGTTTACTACTTTGACCGCAAAATCATCTCATGGCATTAAAAAAAAAGTTAAATTATTTTATTTACTGGGTTTACGCAAGATCTTTCAGGCATCGTAGGCTATTTCCAAGCGAATTTGTGGGTATGAATGCAACTTGTGTTCCTGCCTTGTTAGCGAATTGTGCCGAATGAGAAAACATGCAATAAGAACGCTTTGACAGCTGTTCTGGAACTTTAGAAAATTCTAATACCTTTACGAAAAACGAAGAAGAACGATGACTATAGAAACTGAGTTTCAAAGTTGTGTGGAGTTACAATTAATAAGATTGTGAAGAATAAATTGTACTCGAAGAGTCTTCCAATATATAATACTGTTATTTCACTGAATAAACAACCTAAGAAAGAATTACATACTGTTATAGCGTCCAAGTTTTACAGATCTATGCCGCTCTTAGTCAAGTACACACATACGTTTAGACGTACATTAGTATTTCTACCTAACTTTCAAAGTATCAAATTCTTTGTGGTATAATTTTTACAGTGAATTAAGTGTGATTGGTTGTGTAAGGTTATTTGGCATGTCAACAACTGTGCTTACTACTGCCTTATATCATCTTAATTTCATATGCTATGCAGCGCTACGATCGCTCTAATATCAACCATTTCAGAAACGGAACCAGTCATTAACAAAATAATTTCTTCCAAGTTAATAAAAAGTTACAGAATTTTGATTTGAGACAGATGATCTATAGCTATTTAGAGATTTAACTATTCTTCGAAGAAAAAGATGGACACCTTCAGAGTTTATGAGTGACGTCCATTCTGAATTCTCTGACGGATAAATTTAAGTCAAATTTAGTATACAAAAGTATGTCCACAATGCGTCACTTAGAAATCTTAGCATTTGTTCAATCAGTATTTGTGTCATTCATAGTCGTGTGACTCAATTATACACTTTATTGTCTTGTAATTCTTAATTACAAATACGTCTAATGCCTTTATTTTGAAACATTTCCTTCTGTAAGTGTATAGTTTGCTTTGTAGTCACCTTGTAGTATAGGATAGATCATCACTGAATGGTTTTAACATTACAACATTACAATTACAGAGAAGAACATAGTACAGTGTGAAAAATAACGAAATGATGAACAACTACTCACTGTTTCCATAATATCAAGTGAAACATAAAGAGATATTGATATTATGAAAATGGGACCAAATGTTCTCCAATGTTTAGCAGTAAACAAGTTAGAATATGTGGGTCTACATTTCACGATTACCGTACCGTCACATCCATCTACCTTTTAACTGTGTTGACATATTGCGACACTACACTGGATGTTAGGATGATTAATACTTCTGTTTAAGTCAATTTGCATAACAACTACATGCCGTATCAAACACCATAAACACCATTGGGTGAGAACTATTTCCCAGACTAAAGCAGATGAAGCAGAATTCAGGACTATAATCTCACTAGTATTTAAGTCAATAAATTTAATCTCCAAATCAGTCTTAAATCCAAGAAGCTACGCTCATAGCCCTCAATAACTTACTCCACAGAGTAAAAATGATAAAATCACACTTCCTAATATATATGTCTGATACAGTGAGTCGAATACGAAACAACATCTCAGTTAAAACGCTTTTGCCTATATCATATGTAAGCTAGTGATGGCTAATAAAAAATATGTTAGGATTATACTACTAACGAAATTGTATCCAAAAATGTAGTGTACATCAATATGAAGAGCTTATTGGTATGTCATGTCATACAATACATGGAATGAAGAAGAAACTTGTAATCCTTTGGAGAGCCGAATTAACACGACATTATTCAAATTATAATTGATTCACATTCTATAATATGATATGGATTAATTGTAATATAGTAACGAATAAACCGTATTCATACTGCTCACTGGCATCTACTAATCACGTTTACCATGTTATTTAGGGTGACTGAAACATAGTAATACAAAATTTTTGAATAAATAAAATACACAGAGATAAACACAAACACACACACAGACTAACCGGGTTTAATTGCTCTTGCAGCTACAATATGCCAACCATATTCATCATTCCAATTCAATTTAACTGCTGGTGGATTTTGAGCATGAAGAGGATGCATAAGCCTTGAATGAATTAGACAATTTTCACTATTCTTGTCATCACTAACCGGGATATTATCAATCTTTACGAGTTCACTTTGATTTACTTCATTTTTTGGTGTTAATAAATTGACTTCATGTACAAAAAATGGTATAGTTGAAATTCTATTTTCTAAATCTTTTATCACTTCTTTTCGTTCTGTATGTAAACATTTCTTTCTGCCTTGTTGAATCACTTCGTCTAAAGCCTTAGAAAGTATTATATTCTCGGATTTAATCAATTCCAGACAATCATCATATTCTTTCAAGGCCTCTTTATCACGTCCAAGTTCATAAAGACTTTGTGCACGACGTATTAGCAGACGTGGACGACGGTCAATGGGGAAATTATGCTGAGCAAGATTAAAAAGAAATTATGGCACCAACAAAATATTATTGATAATGGAAATTTCAACGAAGGAAAGAATTTACAAAGAAATTTGATCACTTTTAAAATCAAAAGAATCTTGAATGTTGGATGCTGGTAAAATTGTGATCAATACAAATGAATTTCGAGAGTATAGATACAAATAATTTCACTACAGAGGTGGTTTTACAACCTCATCCATTAATTTTATCAATAATAATTCACTCACCTTGATGTCTGGTTACCTATTAAGTGAACAGTATGCAGCAGTTAGTCCCACTATACTCTACGCCTGAGACACGGTCACAGAGCAGAAACAATGGAAAAATTAGGAAATTTTAACTTAAGTTGTCCTCATCGAGTCGCCTATGTTAGATCGAGTAATACGGTTGTCTATCTGTCTGTTTTCAACACAGAACTTTGCACCGAAGTGCAGTAGTTCAAATCGCCACACAAGGCAAGAGAAGAAATGCAAAATAGAGACAGTAGTCAGGGATATGAGACAAAAGGAATAGCATTAACGAAGAACAAAACAGTTTCATTGGAAATCATAAGTCACAAGGAGTGGATGCATCTGCGCCATTGAGAACGATTTTGAGCCATATCACCGACTGTTTCCAACCATTGGTTTTTACCATCCCGAGGGCCCCAACCAGGAAGTCTACATCTTCCTACGTGGCTTAGACTAACTGTTGTGGATTTCATTGATTGGTGCCATGTTTTGGTTTGACCGCCGCTAGCTCTTTTCCAGCCTGACCCTTTATTAGCTAACATTGCCCGTCGACGAAGGCGATGACTAGGCATACGTAACACATGTTCTAACCATCTCAGTCGATGTAGTTTCACAGCCTCATCGATTGATTTCCCCTCTTTACCTAGCACTCGACCGAAACCTAACCTCAATATTACTCACCTTATTATACCACCTGACACAGGAGATAGAACGAAGGCACCTATGATCAAAGACAGCAAGCCTTTTCATGTCCTCCACTCTCAAAGGGCAGGTCTCACAGCCATAAAGGAGGATGGAGCGGACTGCTGGGCAGTATACACGCTCTTTAGTCGACAGCCAGCCGGATATCACGTCTACGCCAGAGACGGCATAAACTGGCATAAGCGAAACTAGCCTTCTGTATCCGTGCTGAGATTTCGTAATATGGTTAGCAACAATGAAGTCAGGCGACAAGTGTTAATTAAAGCCAAAAAGTTAGTTAGTAAGCTTTTATAATTCTAGAAGGCTTCATAAAATCTTGGTCACACTTAAGTTTATCTATTTTTATAACACCATATTTTCCTTAATTTATTTTGTGGGCTTTAACATAGTGCAGTAACTTGAACTGATGCAATTCTGTGCAAAGTTTTAAGTAGACTGGTCAGTCAGTTTGTCAAAATAAACAGATCTCAGATAAATTCATCAACAGTTTTCAACAACTAATAAATTATGTGATTGTCGGAAAAATACTTCAGTGGTACCAAAAAGTAATTTGAAGACTGTTTTTAGTTGTTTTTGTTGTCACTAGTTCCCACAAAAAAAGAAATCAAGTAGAGTGAAACTTAATCAATATGATGGATAGTGACAACACCAACAATGAGGAATCTAAATCATCAGTATTAATTCCATACAAGGAAGGAGCCTCGGAAACCTTACACAGAATTCTTAACAAGGCAGGAATAAAAATGGAATTCGAACCCACAAACTCAATTAGAAACAAGCTTTGTCGGTTAAAGGATCCTGTGGAGCCTTTAAAACAAAACAATTTAGTTTATCTAATACCCTGCCTGCAATAATTGTCAGGTCAAACACATAGGTCAAACTAGTAGAACAGGGGAAGTCAGACTAGCCCAGCATAAAAACCTAGCAAAATCTAGATTGGTTCATCCAAATAAGATAAGAAATCTGGAGAATAGTTCAGCTATGCCACTCACTACATGCAGTTACACACACACACACACAACCATACAATAGGATGGCATAAGATGACAGTTTTAAAATGTAACAGAGTGGAGGGACAGATTGATGACGGAAGCTTTGTTTATCAAATCAACTGCAAATACATGTAATAGGAATGATTCTACACCTGTCCCAGATACCTGGAAAATTCTGCTACCACGCCTACGACAACAAATAGGAGAAAACAAAGAAAACTATAAAATTTAAGTCTCAAAGTCGTGTGATTATAATTGATGATATGATTATGAACAATAAATTTTGTTCGAAACGTCATCCAGTAAACAATACTGTTTCACTGTGTGATATATCTCATAAACAAACTAATATGGAATAAATAATGCGGTTTTAAACAAAAATCAACAACACACAACTTTACTCAACATGAACAACACCAGAGAAAGTTTACCAGGTGTTAGTGGACAAAAGCTGAAGATACAGTGATATATGATGTAATGATTGAAATTGCAGTTCCAATTATTTCCTACCCAATAACCTATTGTTTTGATTCTCATACGGATTGTCTTAAAAAGTAGAATGGATAGCCAAGTTGTCGTCAACTTTTTCCTGTAATAGAATGACAATAATTTTACAAAAATGGACAACAGCAGCTAGGGGACCAACAACCCGTGAAACAACGCATCTGGGATGAAAAAATGAAGGTGAAGAGACTCACAACACCAAACTATTAATCGCACTACACGTAAATCGACAACAAATGAAATTTTATCAGTTCGAAAAGACAAAGCATTCATGCATACGAACAACAAGGGTAGAACATCGATAGGAAAGAAGCATTGCTAAGGTTAAAACACATAAAACAAAACTCAACCTTAATGCAAACGACAGCCGACTCAACAAAGACAAAAATTATACGTTCACGGGTCAAATGAATAAATACAGACAAATAGATACACCAAAAGTTTCATTCACTTGGTTCACTTTACTTGAATGAATAAGATAAGTATGAATGGTTCTACAGAACATGCTGCATCCATTAAATTCCACTGTATTCCATGTCATACAGGTACAAGCTAAAAAGGATCAAAGCATGGGCAAAGTAGGTTTTTGTTGTTGACGTATCAGAAAGGGACATGCTAATGGTAAAATTTGACAGATATATGAATTATAGAAGTAGCGTATTTTTATGGGGCTGAACCTATGAAAAAACTATTCCAACTCTCTGAGTGCTAATGGAAGGATAAGACAAAATCTGCCCTGGATCCAAAATCCTTCCGTTCGGTAACTTTTTAAACAGTAAATAAACCTGTTAAAACAGATCGTGTTTTAATTATTTTAGTAAGCTACAACCGGCTGAAATAAACCGAAAACAGGTCACAAAGTAACAATGCATTTATTTATAAGTCATTCAGGTAACCATAATGTGAGTTGTGTGTAACAGGTGATCTCTTTAGGGGAGGTTTTATTACTCTGTTCATCAACTCAGACAATTTAAATGGATTAGGACGATTTGTATACATTGAATTTACAAGAAGGCTGTTTCTACGAATACACTTGATAGACTTGCTTTTTGCATATACATAAATAGAACAAATGTATACTGCTGAGCTGGATCATTTCCAAACACCATAGATTAAATTGATCTTGGTCCATTTGTGCGATTATTACACCGTGTCCAATCAGCTGTGACCATCACCATCGATGCAAGTTGTCCACCTTATATCAAGTCGATATGCCTAAGACTATACACTCTATGAGAGCTTTTTAATGAAAACTAATAATTATGTACTCGTTCTAATAAAATTTCCAAGTTACACTTATTGTATGTTAGACCTAATGATCCACCTCTCTTTGATCACTAAGTTAGTGGGAGAGGATAAGAGTGAAAACTCAGCGATGGAGAATGAAGCGTCTATCGAACTTATGAGAAGTGAAAGTAAACAGCATGTGTAAACACAGTACCAGTTGTCATTGAAAAAAATTATGTAACCCGCATTATTTTACAACATTAATAAATCTTCCCGTTATATACATTAATTAATCAGTTACAAGCTTTTAAATTCTTTAATCCTCTTAAACTTAAATTAATATGATAACCATTTACCTTAATAGCCAGATCAATATCCTGTAATACTGCCTCGTGTACACCGATACGACTAAGTACACACGATCGATTGCCATATCCAAGAGCTTTTTCTTCGCAACTATCAGCAAAGAAAATTGATTCAGTGTAACAACGAAGAGCTAGAGAAATTTTATTAGCACGCCATGCTTCATTTCCGTGTTCACGCTTTCTTTTTGCTGTAGAGTCGTTTTTCTTGGCTGAATGTTGGTCGGACACTAAATGAAGAAAATAAGGTGAATATTGTAAAGCCAGATGGTTTACAAAGAATTAGCCAGTTTTGAAGCAACTTTGAACAACGAACTGAAAACAGCCAGATAATCAATAGAACTTTTTCATTTCACTTACTATCTATCTGTTTAGCATTAGATACTGCTACCTCAAAAAGTTTGAGTGGAAAAAGAGATTGATAGTATTACAATGGAGTGAGAATGTATGTTTACAGAGAGCGACACGCTTAACCATGACTATGCTATGGTGGATATATTACATTTTTATTCAACCTGTCTGAAGGAAGCTACTACTCAGGAAAAACAAAACAGTAAAACCTAAGTAATGGTATGCACGTGTATCGATCATATGATATATTAACCAACATGTCTGCCCCGTCCATAATATTGGTTAAAATCTATCAAGGAGGTATTTATTAAGGGCATTTCAATATTTGACACTTCAATTTGACATTAGGGGTTAAGAGGAATGGAATAGTGTTCGCTGAAAGTGTCCACATTGTACATTTAACATGGATGGAAGACAGTATAACTACTGGTCTCTCAATTAAATATCACCTTTACTTTGTTAAATAAATCTAGCAACTAGACTGTCATGTAACTTCAAATTACTCTTGCGCAAATACCCACCACTTAAAGCTATCCGCGTGCGTTTCTTCTTCCATTCACGTTAATACTGTCCCGTATATTTCTGCTTTTTTGTTTGAAAGACAACTGTTTTACACCTACTGCTGTTGCACCAATGTAGTCTATTTTATTTGAGAAACGGATAAAGTTTTCAGACAGTTCAGTAATCTGCCTTTGTTGAATAGTGCTAAGTGCAGTAGGATTAGACTTTAAGAGTACCCTGATGTAATTATTAGCAATAAATTGTGCTTGAAACGTCATCAATAAATATTACTGTATAACACTGTGTGATTTCATCTAAATGTAACGACAGAAGGCAAGAGTAAGGCAACAGATCATTTATGAAGGAAATCAACGCATATTTGTATATTTTCATGTACATTACTGTGGATATTTAAGTAAACAAACACAGTCTTCCAATTGGTTGTTTCTCACGTGAAGTTAATCTTTCATCTATTTGTGACTGTTTCTTGAATGTCAAATCCTCTATATGTTAACTGCATCCACCTACGCAAAGTCTGCTGTGGTCGGTTTTGAATCAATCTTTGTTCACATTTTCTCACAACAAATCTTGGGAACGTAAATATTGACGTAAATTACTGTCTACCAATTTGGCTAGTAGACAGCTCTCACCACAGAAATAATTTTTACGTATGATGGAATTAGACTCTACCACAGTGCCCAAGTTTTATCCTCATATCAACGTTTAAACTAAAACCTGGCGAAAACCTATGAAACTATTTCCTGGGGGATGGTCTGTGCTATACGGAAAGATACAAACTGTCATGTTAGTGTGCTCAGGATGCTAAGAATCAACGACTGAGGACTCCTGGTGGTACGACTCAAAACCATTCACAATGGTGTGACGTAATCATTCCTTCGAATCATCTTCGAAACTTGGGACACTTTTAACATGCTTTCATTAAATTATTTTCTTTCCTTTAACACGTTTTTTTCATTGATTATATAATTTTTCTTTATGCACTGCTTTTTAGGTAGGGGCAACCTAAAATTAAAGGTTTTAGAGTAGTGAATTTCAAGTTAAAGACTTCAAGATATATATATATATATGCATTACTTGTGATCTTAAAGTCTTTGAGAAATGGCATTGACATAAACTTTTTGATACGTTCATAATCTGTATTACACTCATCAAATCCAGGAAGCCAAGGTAAATCGTAAAGCGATGGACTCATCTCTCCAACTGATTTCATGACAAGATCACAAAATCGATAAAAATCAGTGGTATTCGGGGTAACCATATTTATCCTGTAATGTATAGTTGCATAGAAAAATAAGCATATTACTTATAATTTTTAAAAAAAAAGTAATTTTACATAAACATTGTGCTTTTGAAATGAAATCCATTAACTTTTGATTTAATAAGAAGTAGTTAGCTTACCGAGCAGATTATTAATCCTATTTAGGAATCTTCAATCTGATTTCAGTAATTCACGTAACTGCCTACTCAGAATATGCTTAAGTCTAATTTACACTGGTGCAGTTAGACGCAGATGTCTAATGATTATGAAACTGCAGTTTATTATTAGGGATATGGAAATTTTAAATCAAAAGTCGTGAATTTCACCTTCAACTCATCAGTGTTAATGCTTAGATAAGCATCTCTCATTTGAGCAGTGTGTCTGATAGAGATGCACACAGAGTTGTACATGCAGTTGTCGAATTATTACACACTTGCCTATTTAGATGAACGAAAGAAATAGATACAAATTGCGGAGAATTTATGCAAATCTCCAATCCATTAGTCGCTGGAAAACGGTGTTCGCCTGTTAAAGTATAACTCACACTTCGTTAGACAATAACGCAGTTTATTAGAATGAGATCTGAAAAACACATGCTAATCAAGCCATTGTTAGTACGTAGTGCTTTACGTTTATCTGAAGTTTGATAAAAAAGATGACGGAGTATGAATAATCTGTTATAAAAAAACGTCAAATCCAGAAGAAATTAGTTAAAAGAACAAAGAAACAACCAGGAATAAAAAATATCACCTCACTTTCTTTGTTTAGAAAGTATAATACAATATCAGTCTCATGATAATAAGTAGACTGTTAAAGATATTAATCTCTTTTAGTTTCTCAAGGATGCACCTTCACACTTGTCAGTTACAAAGGAGAACTTACAAAAACAAGTAGTTATAACTAATGGAGCTCTAAACACTATTCTCTTCATATAAACAGAAAGCAAATATTATGGTAAGTCAGTTTTGATCGATCGATTGAAATATTCACTTGGAAAATAACTAGAAATCAAAACTAGCTACTTCTCCATGAAATATTTTTAGAGTGAGGTGCAAGCATATAGAATACACTGGTATCCACACCTTGGCATCTGCCTAGCCCTACAGCAATCAACTTATTGACTGATGCCACTGATATAGCGAAGCGCTTGATACACGGGCGAAAATTCAGTTAACAGAAAGCCAATCTCAGGTGAAGCAATAGTGTAATTAGCAGAAAGCAGTTCTCAAAATGTATTCGATGTGTTATATTCTGAAATTACACGTGAATAGCTGTTGGGAAAAAATTAAACCTAGACATTTTTCAGACAACTGCTCACTTTCAGCGAATTATCGAGTTAAAGTAGGCAAAATTACGGGGGAAAGTGTGGGCGAATGAAAGTAAGAAAGCAGATGCAACTGTTGTCACTAGAAGGGAAAATTAGTAAGAGGAAAAACAATGATACAGTATTTCCACTGTAATTTATTTTGACTCATTCCCACGTACAAAACATACATATATACACCAAGGCGTGTACACAAAAGAAAATCAATCAAGGATAATTAAATAGAGGTATGCAATACAATAAGTCAAAATAATCTGATTGCACCTTTGGTTTGTGTACGTATATGTGGAATAGGCTCATAAACGCAGACAGAACCTACATTATATTTTGAAGTCTAGGCAGAAAATTAAAAATGTAGAAAAAAAACTAAGAAAGTGACACAATAAGTAGGGAAACGTAAATAAAGAAGAGAGAAAAAAAGGCGACAACATAGTACAGTTACATGGGAATAAAAGAAGTTATTACTCTACGTTAACAAATTAATCAAGTTGACATTGAACTAGCCGTGCTACTGGTGCTACCCCCACTACTATTACTAATCAATGTAGAATTGGCAGCAGTGGCAGATGTTGCAGAAGTTACATCAGAAGCTGACGCATTCGACGCAACCTTGGCATCTAAATAGAATAGAATATAAGCTGTGTATGAAGATTTCGATGTCTCCGTTGACGAACCAAAAAAGTCTTCAATATTGGCACGATGGATTTTCTAGATAAAAATAATTCAAAACACTCATCATAATAATATAAACATTATTCCATAATTGTAGTATCTACACATGAAGTAAGACGACGTATATTTTAACTTCAGATATGTTTTACGACATCCACAGTAACACGTAAGGTAAAAACAGTCAGTGTAAAGAGCTCAGTTATTTTGTTTTGTCATAAACTCTTAACTCTTTTGACCAAGCATTCTTATCCAAGTTTAAAAGCTAAAAACAGCAAGTTTAGAATACTGGAGAAACATGATCACAGGAGCTAAACAAAGTTGCTGATAAATCGCAAAAGAAACCTGATAATATCTCTTGTGATTTGGATCCCAATGTTCCAGTCAGAGTTGCTAGATAATGTGATGTCTCTTCTCAGAAAAAAGATATCTTTGTGAAAACAGGTATCCCATACGCTTTATACGAAACAAGAAACATAAACATACTGAAAAACATTACTCCTGTGCCTAAGGAAGATGCATACATGAATGAAGCCATTTCGCCGGCACTCTAAAGACAGCATTAAATGTTCTTACAAAAATATTATTTGCAAAGACATTAGGATTAATATTCTCTTCGTATCCAATGTTCTCTAATGCCTGGAAAGATAAACTATCCTATTTGACTACCCCTGTGCATTGAACAATTCAGTTGCTGTTATGCAGCGAGATACGTTAATTATGCAATTATTCAGTCGACAATCAGTGTCTGTAAGTATGGTATGTGGTCTGACCCACCAAAGTACAGAGTAGTTGCAAGATTGGCAGGAGCCTGTACCTGTACTCGTCCTTGAAGGTAAACCACTTGACTTTGCCGACAAGTTTGTGTACCTAGGTAGCAGTGTGAAGGATGAGATAGCCAACCAAATTGTGAAAGCTTGGTGGCATAAGCCAATTCGAGCCACTTCTGGCGCCGTCGCGATGTCAACCTGGCTGTCTAAGGTCCGATTTACAATGCTTCAGTGTGCGCGGTCTTGCTTTACGCCCATGAAACTTGACTTCTCCGAACCGAGGATGTGCAGCGACTCTTTGTATTTGATTATCGCTGTCTTATTACAATTGCTTGCATTTGATTGTATCATCGCATGAGTACTTTTGAAGTCCTGAAGTGTATATGGACACTGTGGCGGTCACCACTCATTGAGTGTAGTCATCTCGAAACACCGGCTCCAGTGGTTTGGACGTGTGTTACGAATGTGATTCCGGAGGCTTTCGTACCGGTCTCTATTCACTGGCCCTGGGACTGGATGGAAAAAGTGGAGAGGTGGTCAGTCTATGACGTGGCACCATGAGATAAGGGATATTTGTGTTACGTCAGCATCAGCTGGTACATGATGACACCCTGGTTGGGGTCCGAAGGATAGTTCGAATCGGTGACTCGAGACGTTATCGGATATGACCAAGAATCGCAATCAATGGAGAACATGCTGCAATCCCCCTACTTCTTCCCTTTCTGAGATTAACATGAAGTGATGAATGTTGATGGATATTGACAAGGACGCTTGCATGCTTTCTGAATGACGTCTTTTATTCATTCTCTCCCTATTTTTTAAATATATTGTTGTATGATGTATCTCTTGAAACCAGTATTGTACCAAGTTTGTATCCTATATTAAGTTTTGAACATATTAAGATGTCATCAGTAGAACATACTAGGCGGTCATCTTATCATACTGAAGTTTGCGCCGAAGATGTCTAGAAAGACAATGAAGACTCCGTAATTGAACCACGCAGCATAGAGAACACAACCATATTAAAATCACTTTATCATTATTCATAAAACGAAACAGATGCCCCATAACGAATCTAAACATTGCACAAACGATTACATTACGTTCCCCATTGTATAACAATTTATGTTTGTGTAACTGTATAGTTACATGCATAAGGAGATAAGGATGTTGGGAACGCTTAGTTAGGTTAACTAAACAGCAATCAATGCAGGTGTCAGATCACCGCCTTCCAAGATAACAAAAAATATTACAGAAATAGATCATAGGATTACCCTAAAAATAGCCCTGAGGATTTTATAAAAAAAGGACAGGTGCATACTTGAGCCATTCGTTACATCAAGTTCTCTTTGGTAATCCTCATATATTAATACATACGTTATCATCCTATCCACTATTAAATTTCCTCTTATTTCTTTTATTATTAATGGCTACCCATTTCGTCAATTTCATGTACGCTAACTTAGTGAATAGTCGGAATTTTAGAAATATATTGTACCAGAACGTCACATTTAAAAATAGACTTCATCGGATAATACAATGGAAATCTATCAAAGAAACTAACCAATTAGAATCACAATAAAACGACTTGCAACATCAAAACCATGAGCATTAAACCTACTTCTACTAGTTCATCATCAAATAAAAACCATAGACCATGAGATTTCACAAGTGTTACATAGTGTCCACGATTAGGACCAGATCCTGAGTGGACAACGACAGCCATCAGATTGTAGAGCCGATCAGCGTTAGATGAGTCGCTAGACTATTAATAAAATAAACAATAAGTATGAATTATGTTTTTTGGCAAACATGAATAAAAGAATGAATAACTTGTTAAACATAATATAACAATAGAGCTTGAATATCACCGTAGAGTATAATCCCAACATAGAATAAATTCATGTGATAAAAACACCCAATGATACAGTGTTATTTACAAATGGTGTCTCGAGCATAACTTATTGCTTATAATCATATCAAGGCATTCACATAACTTTGCAACCTTGCTCTCCACACATAAACTAAGCAGTGGGGGTGCTAAATTTAAAATTGAGTCAGAAAATGAAGAAGGAGAATTAGTTTAGATTGTAAAGTAAAATGAACAGGAGAGATGAAACGATTTACTGGAGTTTATAAAAAGCTAACATTTAGACTAATTCATCTTATCCGTTATCTGCAAAGGCAGACTTAGTTAGATGTCTAACAATAGCTCTAAGTAGTACATCAGAAAACCGAAATAATGAAATGAAACAGATAAATGAATTGTGGATGATGAATAATTACCTCATCAAATTCACCAGGAAAACCAGAATATCTCACGAGGAAAAGAAAAATAGTAATGGGGCTAATGACTATAACACCAATGAGAAAGGATTGAAAGCATCCACGATTTTACCACATACAAGAAGGGGCATTCAAAACCCCACGGAGGATTCCTAACAAAGAAGGAATTGCAGTGGCATTTAAACCTACAAACTCACTCAAGGATAAGTTCTAATCAAAGGACCTCACTGACCCAATCAGATAAAAAAAAATGTAGTCCACAAAAAACTTGCTCAGGTTGTGAGGTCAAAAGCAGAAGTAAGACCAGGTTATTGAGGGTAGTTACATTATCAGGAAAAGAATTTAGCTAAGCGTAAAGTGATTGACCCCGAGAAAATGAAGTTTAAGGAAAAACTGAGCAATTGGAATGCATGTATTGGCATGCAATCATAAGATAGGTTAAGGCATAACTACAGTTTTAAGAAGTGACACAGGTGGGTGGAGGGAGAGGTCGATTATCAAAACTTTGCTTGTCGAGTCTACGCATGAAACGCAGAATAGAAATAGTGCGACGCCAAAACCAGAGGTATGAAAAATACTGCTACCAATAAAATCAAAAGTTAAGAAAAAATAGAAATATATAGACGAAGTTAGAAAGTTATGCGAGAGCCTTGATTTGATTATAAGCAATGAGCTGTTCCAAAAACGTCATTTGTAAACAGAAAGTAGCACACAAACAGTATTATAATATCATAAAAAGTTAGAATACATCACCAATACTATTCATGTTCATATGTGTGAATATTGTAATACAACGTTCATCTTTAATATTGACTACAAGTATATTTATAACTTGTTGATTAACTCAACAACGAACAAACTTCTCAATGATATGGTGCACTGATTTCACTGTTGGTATTTGTGGGATATCCAATAACTTGTCAAAATACGAGTATTGTACACCTTTTTCGTGCTCTATAGTTGCGAAACAAGCGCTAGAAGTAGAATACTTGAGGTAACACATTTCTGAGTATACACAGTAGCATTTCTAGAGGATGTGGTAGACATGTTAAGGTCGATCATAAAGCGTCATAACAAGGAAGCTAATTTAGCTGAAGTTGTAAGATCTTTACGGCATGTAATAACTTTAATAGGTGAACAAGCTTTTAACGCCACACCCATTACAGTTAATACAGTCTTCCAAACTAGTCAAGACAATAGTACATTATCTGACATATGATTGTAATCATTGTTAGTAAACATGTAAAACTACTTTTATAAAATAAGTTGCCTTCTTGTACATGCAAGCTTTTTAAGTCGTATAACTGTGTTGAAGATTTTCTGAAGTCTTTACCGCTGGTTTCATGCAAGACTGAATGTAATGGAAAGTAGATGATAAACCCAATAACTGTTAAAGACTGTTACAGTAAAATTTAGAAAAAACGTAAGCGAACAATGCTACTTTCAACTACACTACCCCTGACTTCAATACAAATGATTGTGTGTAAATATAAGTATGATTTGCTGATAAAGTGGTAAGATGGATATGAACTGTATAATGATTAGCTGCATTCATAATAATACTATTAACAAGATGATGAGTAAAGACCTGTGTGGTGACAAGAATAGTGAGAGAACAGAACGGTTATGGGAAACAACATTCAGGAAGATTGAGTACCACCAAACACCTAAATTAAGTAAACAAAATTTGAATCGAGATTAATAAAGGTATAAGAGTGCTGACGAAAACAAGGAAAGCGGATTATATATATATAAATGATAAGTGCCTTCCTAGAACAAGGTACGCAGAATGACTGTATGAACATTTCCTGAAATATATGGTGCAGGAGAAGTAACTTGAATGCCAGTAGCCTCAGCAAGATGTAGTACGCAAATAAGTTCGTTAGATAGATTAAACAATATCCAATGAAAGTGAACATAGGTTTTGATTCCTATGAATTAATTACTAATCAGAAAACATAAGGGACTCAACACAATGATTGACAGAAGTATACGCGCACAATATTGTGAGACTTCTTCCTAACTTAATTTGCAGTAATACAAAATAATTCTACAACCGAGAATGTGTACATCATCAAATAACCTCATATCAAAAGTAAGTGTCCATTTTACAATAGCCACTAATGATAATGTCAGTAAAACGGATGAGTATTGTGAAACAGATTCAATTGAGAATCATTACATTTCACTGGTGTACACACAATAATAAGTCTTGTTATTGGTAATATTTCGAGCAAAATTACTGCCCGTGTTCACACCACTGTTGGAATTGTTGTTTTACAATTCACACATTTATGATTCGTACTCATATATAAATATATATATATAGTTCTTTTTTTTCGTTCATTCATTTTTGTGTATTCAGAACTCTATTTCAAGTTGTTGACAGTTGTACTGAGTCACCCTTGTTACATGTATCCGGTATGACCTTGGTGAATATAGATTCTGTTATAAGTCTCTCTCTTTCCATTTGTTCATATTAGTTTTCAGAATACAAACATTGTTCCAATCGATATTGTGGTTTTTGTCCCATGCATATGTGCAGCTATAGATGAACTTTTTTCTAAATTCTTGTAGGCTTCTGTTCCTGTTGGTTAACCTTTAGTTAGGCGTTTATGTTCATTCACTCTTATTCTGAGTGATCTGGATGTTAGACCCACATATTTATTCGGACACTCGGCACAAGATATTTCGTAAATCACATTGTTTTAATCCATCATTTTTATGGGATCTTTCAGTTGATTTATTTTATTTTTAATTAGATTCGTCGGTTTAAACGTTGTGCGGATTCCAATCTTTTTGAGGTTTCTTCGAATTGCCTCTGATGTACCACTTTTGTATGGTATTGTGACTTTTTTGCCTTCGTCTTGTCGTCCTTCGGTTTTACCTTTTTTCTCTTTTTTGTATTATTTTTCATGAATTCTTTTGGGTAATTGTTGTCGGGTAACATTTTGAATAGGATATTTATTTCTTTACGCTGGTCCTCTGGTGTTGTTGTAAGTCTACATATTCTATCTGAAAGACCTTGTATTAATCCTCGTTTTACCGTGAGTGGATGAGCTGAGTGATAAACAAGGAATCTTCCAAAGTGCGTAGTTTTTCTATATAGCGTCGTTTTTATTCTACCACCTGTTACTCTTTGTATTTTGCAGTCTAACACAGACAGTTCCCCAATTTCATTCTCTATTTCCATAGTGAATTTTATTGAGTTGACATGACTGTTAATGTGCGAGAAGAATTTCTCAACATCGTTTTTTCTCATTATTACTAACGTGTCGTCTACATATCTCCACCACCATTTTATTGATGACCTGGATGGTTTAAGTGCATTCTCTTCCCGAAATTCCATGAATATGTCAGCTATTATTGGTGAGATGGGCGAACCCATGGCTACCTCCTTCATTTTGTTGGTATGTTTTTCCTTCAAATGTAAAATATGTCAGACAGAATTTCACCCCTTTTATTATATATATATATATACATATATATATATATACATATATATATATATATATATATATATATATATGAGTACGAATCATAAATGTGTGAATTGTAAAACAACAATTCCAACAGTGGTGTGAACACGGGCAGTAATTTTGCTCGAAATATTACCAATAACAAGACTTATTATTGTGTGTACACCAGTGAAATATAAATATGGCACCCACGTTGTCGTATACCATGGTGGACTGGGAGGATTGGGGTTTGCAAATCGCTCTTATTCGGGGAAATTACTGGAAACGACCGATATTTGAAAACCAAGGGCTTTATAGGTGCATTCTAATTTGACGCCTATGTTACGAGAGCGATTCTAGGAGAGTTATCTCAAGATGCTAATAGCTTATGGAAAGAAAATGAGTGTGGGTAAACGAAAAACTGGTTATGAAACTAATTTACAAGTAAGATAACTGCACAACCGGAATTAGCAACAACCGAAACGACTAACAAGGTAGCTTGTGACTTACTATTACATTATATGGTATTTCTCAATAATAAGCAAAGAAACGCCACCACAAAAAACAATCCAAGCAAAAATATCAAACGACTAACCGTATTGAAAAGTCTTAATTCCATTGGAAAGGCAACTCTGTAGGATAACTTGATAAACCTATTAAGATTTTCTGAGTACTTGAACCGTTTTAAATGGAGGGCTAGAAGTAAGGGTGGTTTTTTGATACGCATACTAAAATAAAATGAAGAGACAAAAAATACGGAGAAAAAACTTAGTACATAATTACCGGTCAAACAGCAACATAAATACATAAAATAATAATACATAAATACTAATGTAACGTCAATTATGGTGGAAGTGTCACTGCTTACACTACTTCTACAGACTATACTTACTGATTGAAATGACGCCTGACGTTATTTCGGATTACTAAAACCGTGTGATGTGAAATATGTATTTTTGTGACTTGGTTCGGTACACCACTTAGTCTTCAGTTAACATATTTTAAATCAGATAATGAATGCTTTCCCTTTTTACTTAAGCTGACAAGAAATTTACGAACCGATATTCTCTTAATCTGTTTTAATACAAGTGTCATTTGGATTGACGTCTTCAAGATAGATCTTGTAATAGGATTTTGGTCACTATCTTTAGTGAGATTTGAAAACTGTAGGGATACGATTTTACACTTGGCGTGCAAAAGGCTTACTAATACTAATTCCACTAGATTGGGACACTACAGAAGACAAAAAATGTGAAATGCATGCCCAAGAACAGACAGTACAGTCCTGGACTACAGTTGAACTCCTCAAAAGATGAACCACAGCATATATACCACTGTGAAATAGCAGTTTAATTTGCAGCATCCTGAAACGTAGTGGAAGCAACTAATTGACTGAGGTGAATTGAATTACCAACTTAGAACTTCATACACAACTGCATTAGTTTAACTTGCTGTGACGTATAGAAGAAAAGACAGTACAAATGCACTTAAAACACTAATAAAAGAAAATATACACGAAAATAATTAAGTGAAGCATAGGGAGGATTTAATGAACCTAAAAAATCACAAGGAGTGAATGCATCAGTGCAAGAGATTTCCAGCCATAACATCAAGACTCTTGCCATTGATTCTTAGCATTTCAAGGACAGTAGCTAGATGGTCTACACTATTTTACGTGGCTCATATCAAGTCAAAGAATGACAACAGGTTTTTAACTAGACCAACCCTAACTTTCAGAACCAAATCGCATGTCTCATCAATTAATATTACTCGACGAGTAAGGTAATGGCCTGGCATGAGTAACAAGTGTCCTAACTATTGCTAGCAATGAGGCTTCACAACCTCATCGGTCAAATTTCACTTCTTACCTAACACTCCGTGCTTAACCTCAATATTACTGACCATACTATAGCACCTACCACGAAAGAGAAGACGCGAATTCTTACTGTCAAAAAGAGGTAGGTTGTCCTAATCCTTGACTTTTAACGGTAATGCCCCAGCCATAAAAAAGAAAGGGCGGACTGCTTAGCAATAAACACGTCTTTTGCTCGATAGGCAGATCTTATATACATGCAAGAGATGCTGCAAGTTAGTAGATGTCAAACGAGCCTTTAGTATCCCACAGCTGAAATTTCATTAGCGACTAGCCCAAATGAAAATGCTGCAATTCCACAATGTACCAAAAAACAACTAACCGTCGTTGGGCTTCCTGTTTGCAGCGACAAAATTCACAGTAGTACTTGTTGTCTGAACGCATTGTCTCAGTATCAGAAAAGCAACGCAGGCAGTAAGAAATGTCCACATTTTCTCCAACGTCAACCGACAAATCGAGGAAATTTTCCTCCTTCGTACGAACATTATCACAGTTAAGGCATCTTGTTTCGTTAGTCAAACTTCCTTGGAAAATCTCATGGATCCAGTTTTGGTTTGTACTTCTCTTATCGTTCTCCACAGTATCGATTACCCCATCATCTTTAACAACCTCTGTATCACCACTTTCCAATGACCGTTGTTCAGCTAAAAACTACAATTCCAATTATGCTGATTACCTCTTATTATATCGGCTATTTTGTTAAGGAGATAATTCAGGAACTCATGCGCATCCTGTTGCAGATAATTGTCGAACAAGCCTATACAGTTAGTTAAGTAAAACACAACAAAACCATTTTCTCTCTTGAGCTTTTGTATGAATTTTTTAGGACGCATCTGGCCAACTCTTCTTTGCTGAGATACGACGGAGTAAAATAAATCCGAAAGACAAGTAAGTAGCGTTTCCTTTTTGGGATTTTTTGCTCGGTCATTATATTGTAAGACCTTGTCCCGAAAAGGCTTGCAAAAAAACAGAGCTTGTATCACTGAATTACAGTAGCATGTATTCCCAAACTATGAATCCGTGAAAAGATAGGTAGACCTACATTTACTAGTCCGAAATACCGCTCACCACTGAGTAGCTGGTCACTGGCAATCTCTTTTTCCAGCTGGGAACTACTTAACCCCTGATAAAAAATTAAAAATTTTGTTTTCTTTGTACCATTTTCAGACAGTTAATACGAAGAAATGAGTCCAAAAATCTCATCCTGAACTATCATCATGATTCTAGCGAAGTGTAACGCCAAAATTTAAACAGATTCAGATTTATTCAGATTTATTGGTTGAGGATAGAAGGCTTGGAGCCTATGTTAATCCTTTTCTAGTAAATTTCTGTGGTTGTCCAAACCCTTCTTGAACGAATCAACTGAGGTTGCACCACTTCTTCTGGGAGTCGGTTCCAAGAGTTTATGACTCGGTGTGAGAACCAGTGCTCAACAGCAATATGATTTCTTCTTGGCTTTTGAACTCTCCTGCTATGTCCTCTAAGGTGTTCCGACCTGGTGGGAAGGAAAAGAGAAAATAGGTCAGGTCCGTAGTCATTATTTAAAATTTTAAACATTGTGATTAAATCTCCTCTCTGCCAACGGTATGACAAGGAGAAGAGATTTAAACTGTCTAGTCTTTCCTCGTATGATAAGTTAGTCATGCCATGAATCATACGTGTTGCTTTCTTTTGAACCCTTTCTAGAATAAGTGAGTCCCCTTTTAGACAAGGGCTGGCGGCCTGGATGCAGTTTTCCAGTCTTGACGTCACCAGAGATGTATATAAGGAGGTGAACATATCTCTGGTGATTCTAGTGAAGGCTCTACGAATTGCCCATAATGACCTGAAACTACGTGCAGCCACCACGCGACAGTGTGCTGCAGTTTTTAAGTCGTGGCTAACTGTGACACCTAAGTCCAATTGAGTCTGAACTGATGGAAGTCTAATTCCCTCTAGTTCATAAGAGCTCGTGCTTGCTTGTCCAATGCGCATGGTTGCACATTTTGCCACATTTATCGGGAGCATCCATTCTATGGACCATTCTGACAATTTGTTGAGGTCCTCTTGCTACGTGGACGTGTCACTGTTGCCCTTCAGCTCTCTCCAAATTTTTAAGTCATCTGCGTATAGGACCATAGGGGAGCCGGTGAGCAGAGATAACTCATTGATATACAAAATAAATAGGAGAGGTCTAAGTACCGTGCCTTGTGGCACTCCGCTGCGTACTGCTGTCCAAGAGGAGAGTTTCGAGTTGATCCTAACCCTCTGCCTCCTATCTATGAGGAATTCCCTGAGCCAGTTTAGTAAGCTGCCTTTGATACCAAGACTTTCCAAATTCATGAGTAGTCTTTTGTGAGGTACTTTATCAAAGGCTTTGCTGAAGTCTATGAGGACGACGTCTACGGGTCTTCCGTTGTCCCTGGATTTAACCCAGCTTTCTCTTGCAGTGAGAAGATTTGACAGGCATGAGAGGTTCCTTTGGAAGCCATGCTGTGCTCTTGATAATAAGCTTCTATTTTCTAGATATGCCATTGTGCTTTTCTTGATGATTCTCTCCAGTGTCTTAATTAAAGTGCTGGTGAGACTGATAGGCATGTAATTTGAAGGGCTTTGTCTTGATCCTCCTTTGTGGATGGGGGTTACTATGGCGTCTTTCCAGTCACGCGGTGACATTCCATTTTGGAAAGCTTGAAGATCGTAGTCAAAGGGCCGGCTATGTGGGCTGATAACTCCTTGAGAAGCCTTGGGTGAAGATTATCAGGACTCATTGATTTCCCTGCATCTAGTTTCCTTAGACAGTTGAGCACGATGCCTTGGTCGATGTCAACGGAATCTGTCCCATGTTCTTCTGATGCAGCCAGAGCTGATCCTATAGGCAGTGGCGACTCCTGAGCGAAGACTTGGGAGAAGTAGCTTGCCATTTCTTCTGCTTTTTCTTGATCTTCTTCGATTGTATCATTGTCAATAGTCAGGTTTGGGACACCATTGGATGTTTTATTCCTGAAGTTCATGTACGAGAAAATTTTCTTAGGTTGTGCCTTTGCATTTTGAGCCAGGTGTGCTTCGAATTTCATCCTTGATTGGCGGATTTCTGCAATAGCTTTATTTCTAGCAGTATTATATAATTGCCTGGTCTCAGAAGTCTCAAGTGTGGCAAACAAGTTCCAACATTTGTGTTTACGTCTAAGTAACTTACGAATCTCTCGATTTATCCAAGGAGGGCAGTGTTTCCGACCCTTTGGGACAGACCAAGGGATGAAAGGTTCAGTTACTCATTAGGAACATGTACTGTTTTGTCGATGACGCTAGTCGCATCTTCGGTGTCTGAGAAGTAGTCAGTCTTCTCCTGTGATGGAAGACCCTTGCAGTCCATGAGCTTTAAAGCCACGCTAAGAGTGGCAATGGCTTCTGTAATACGGAGTTTGGTAGCACTACAACAGTCATTGCACAACCAGTTTGCTAGAGGTTTGCAGCAGCGTTTGTATGCTGCAGCAGTTAGGTTTGTGCACATACTGTGAAACCATCTCTTGCAGTTATCACACTGCATTCCCTCATCCACTGGGAATTGGCACATAACCCTTCCACAGCGGTTTTTTTTGATGGGCATACTGTCTAGAACAGACTGGCGAAGAAATTTAAATATAACTTAGATGTATATAGGCTTTTATAAATCAGCGATAAAAATCAGTGAGCGCACAAAAATATATATAACTATTATGTTATAAGACACAATTTCCAATAATTTAAATAGACTTAGATCTGAAAAGTAAACTAACTTTGATCAGAATAAACTGATTTAAAGTTAATCTGTAGACTTTTGGAGGGTATAACGCAACAAAAGCCAAAACTAAACTACGGGGTGTTGTAGTGAATTTTAATATCCAAATTTCAAGTTGAGTAAACCGAATTGATTCCTATGTCCTGGCTTACCGGTTGTAAGATAAAGGATTCTGGTTTCCGCCGCAATCAAACTGTAGCAGACCTTTCACCTGTAAGCACACTGCACACCCATCAGTCATCTGGTGTAGTCAAAAAGAGGGATAATAATTGTGATAAATAATAGGTGTAATAAGTGTATGTTATGTGATAAAAAAGACGTACTAACAAACAGATAATGAAAATTGGCAATTAAAATCACATATATAAACGAACAGATAGAAAATAATGAATAAGTGTATGCATGGGTGGGGCAGTCAGAATACTAAGACAAAGGAGAAAGGTCAGTGGTTAAGGACGAGTTTCGTTGTGTATGGCTTTTCGAGGGATAAGCCATTTGGACACAGTTATCGTTCACTGCATGATTGTTTAGTCTCCACTTGAGGATTTCCACTGATAGTGGAGTAGCCACATCTTCTGGAAAAGATTTTCAGGGATGGAAAACCTCAAGAGTAAGGATATGAGAGCTCACTCTAGTGTTTTCGCTCTGATGGGCTACCCTTCGTGGATTGCCGTTAGGAAGCACGTGCTCACCTAGTGTGCGGCATACCTTTGTTTGAGTGATTATAGTTAATTGTAATCGCGAAGACATTAATGAAGTCCGCTCTAAGCCAGTGGTCGCTAAGCACGAAAAGACTTCATTTATCAAGTGGTTTATTCTGGAGAACCACTGCTCCTTTTCACCGTCTTTGGATAATTTCCGAAAATTGGCGTCCCTATTTAGTAACGGGGTATTAATGATATTGTTCACTTAAACGTGCTTTCATGTGTATGTTTTGTACAATCTCAGAAAAAGCTCAGGCGTAAGGGCAACTAAACGTCTAAATCGCATGGCCACATATACTCTCGCTACATCACAAATGAGATTCACAAGTGTGTCCATTTTGCCGTTAGAACTGGACCTAAGTAGCTCTCTGACACTACACCGCCCAAGTTATTCCTGAACAAGGAGTAAATTACACCTTTCGTAGTGTAGGGGTAAATAATTCTCCAAATTTATTAATCACAGCAATCATCACTGAACATTGGATGCTGACACTCACTGTTTAAGTCCACTTGTTTAGCTGAAGGCTTCCTGTCAAGCATCCACGCCATTTGGTACTCCGTCGTGCCATGTTCGTGCACGATCACTAGCCAGTTGAGCATTCATCCCGGTCTAAGATTTGGTCCCGAAATATATCTCGTAGTTCTGACGATTAACTCTGGTCTTTTGCTTTGCCTTTGGTACACGAGGAACGAATACCATAGAAGTTTTTGGTATAAGATCTTGCCTTAGTATACTCCGTACAATTCGCAAACGTCAATACTGTCAACCTCTAAAGTAGTTCAACACCTTGCAATTTTTCAAGCTGGAATTCATAACACTTACCAGTGCCAAATCCTCAAGAAAGTTTAGGTCTGCCTGCAGCCTACGAGAGCCTTTCTAGCACATTATTGCTCTCTATATCTTTAAGTCGTTAGAGCAAATGAGGGTCAGGCAGTTTAAAAGGCATGACAGGTGTCGTAAGGGGTTTTTAAGTGCTTTTGTTGTTATCTGCAGTGACTAGAATGCATCTTTAGTGAACTGACCACTTGGAAGCATTCCCTCTCACTGGGGCAGGTACGGAAGTCAGATTAAATCCAGACAACTGCGACATCCTTATAATAATACTATATTTATTCCTATCTATGTAGGACACACCAGTTGTACAGGTATGGATAAGTATTCTTTACATCCCATGAATTTGATTTATAGTGAAATTACATGGTTGCTGTCCTCTCTGACATTAGTAAGTGAGTACAATCTGATAGCTAGTTGTTCAATGGAGCACATAAAGAAATATAGAAATATTGTCTTTACATTAACAAAAAAACCCAAGTATGTGTTGGATAAATTACAAATATTTGGGAAAAAATAAAGCTTGAAGTCAGTTCCTCCATATAACTTTGTTGTGTGCGGCATCATATCTTGTTCTTGATTAATGTTCAAATTGGGTGTTAATTTAAAATGAGTGATTTATTTTCATGATTTTGTCAGCATTTTTATCGTAAATAACACCAGATATAAATTCTACTGAATGCAGATTAATATCGGTCATTGTCAGTCAGATTTACTGCGCCCACGTCAGCCAAAACCGCCATTTGTCACAGCATGGTTGCTCCGTACGAGTAGGTTGATTAACACGTAGAAAGCTATATGTGAGCCATTTTAGATCATTGACAGTGCTTGCATAGGATGCTGTACAGCGTCTTGTTATGGTGACAGTGGATTTTATCAAGGATGCTGAGACATTACTTGCCAAACCTTGAGGGATGATATATGAGGAAGTGACTTCAACTGTTTCTCAGCTTCAGTCTGAATGTAGATCTGTGCAACTTCTACTACAAGGCAAATACAACGGAAGAGGCGAGCAGTGAAGAACCAGAGAGCAAAGATAAAGTATGTGGAGTCGACCATATATGTTTATATTCGTTGTACATTGCAGTTAAGTAAAGATTTAGAATGCTGCACCGTGAGATGTAATCTTTCTTACAATAGTAGCCAAGTAGTTTGGAGGTAAAATATCGTTGGATACTTTACATCTTTCGTTTGTCACGTGTGAGAGTGATGCTAATAATAAATGGACAGTATTCTAGTAGT